CCTTCACTTGTCATTTACACCTCTCTGGTCCGGCAGTGGCTCGGACGTTTGGGAGCGGGGACGTTGTGCCCTCTGCGAGGCGTTCGTTCTCTGTGCCCCGGATGGTGTGGGTTATTTGGCGTGACCGTTGCGCCTAATCAAACTATATCTCGTGTAGCCCCAGCAGGTGAACACCATGTTCCCGTTGGGTTTTCCCTCGTGGCGGGCACCAGTGCGCTGAACTAAGCTTCTTCCCTGCCCGCTCCCTCGCTGGGTGAACACCATGTTCCCGTTGGGTTTTCCCTCGTGGCGGGCACCAGTGCGCTGAACTAAGCTTCTTACCTGCCAGCTGCCTCGCTGCGACAAAGCTCTATAAATCCATCGCGAAGCTACGCGTTCACTTTCTGTAGGAGCAGAGGAGCCAAACCCTTTGGTTCAAGATCCGTTTCATCATATAGGCACAGGCCTCGTGGCTTCAGGAGCCTAGATAAAGAACATGGAAGTGACTACAAGGACCAAGTGGAGTGTCACTGTCCCTTGCCTCACCCCCGGTAGCAGAAGGGATCGCTCGAGGGCAGCGAGCCTGGACGGTTAAGCAGAGCTTTGAGTCTCGCTCCTTGGAGTAGGGGTCTCTGCTTGCTTCGGCCTGTCTGGAAAAAGTGGAGGGCCTCGTAGGAGGTGAGGGATGTGGAGTCTGCGGAGGATGGGATGTAGAACAAGTGGAGGGCCTCCGTTAGATGGACCGACGACGCTGGCTCAAGTTTCCAGTGGGCTGTCTGAGCCTTTCTGAACTGCCGCCCTACTTGGAGAAAATCCATGGAAACCGACTTGCTTCCCTCGGTTCCTGGAGGCTTCCACGTTGCCGAAGATCTATTCGTGATGGATTCGGGCAAGCGAGGGAAGAGCTGATGGTCTCAAGCAAGCGTGGAAGCACCAGTACCTCCACGTTACCCCTTACTCCTGTTTTGTTTTTTTTTTTCATGGATTTATATCAAATGTGCTGTCTCCACGTTTCTGATGCACACTGCTCCCTGGTTCTGCCTTCTCCGGCCATTTGAAGTGGCCGAGCACTCCGAGACTTGCTCCGTCATTCATTTGGCAACACGACGCGAGCTCTGGGGAGCCCAGCGCAACCTGACCGGGCTGAAGCCGTGGATTATCGTAGCGCAGCGTGGCTGGAATTTGCACTGAGATTGTGTTTGACCCCCGGCTGGATACCTGGAGCTTTCCCTCCTGTGTCTTGGTGCCCTTTCTGCTGTCAGCAGCTGCTCGCTTTTACCCGTTTGCACGCTGTTGATGTTTGTCACACGGTCAGGCAGCCACAGATTTGAACTCTGATGCTTCCCCTTTTTTTTTTTCATTTGCAGTCTAAACCATTTCCAGCCCTTCCCTTATCGGTACAGGCTGTTTGTTTTCCTCGTTCCCTGACCCGAACGACGTAATGACATATCAGGCGGCTCCTAGACGCAGACTGGCGCACCAGTGGAGGGCTATAGCCAGCAGTCAGCCAGCGCAGCTGTCGAAAGGAATTGCTGAGCTGGGAGGATAAATCTATTGTGCCTCTCGTGTGTTTTATGACCGTGCCGTTGCCTCATCGGCCGCGAAGGGAAGCGACGGCGAAAGGCCGGCGCGGGATTTCAACGCTTCGGGGCTCTGCAGCAGCCTGGGTGATGTAACGAACCTGTTAAATGAGCCTTGGATAAAATAGGACCGTCATACCTCCGCCTCGATCCCCGTGTCGGTGTTTAATGGGTATGAAATAAGATTGAAGAGGTGCTTAGATCGTCTGCTGGTACCCAGATTGGCTCTAGGGGGATTTGGGGAGGCAACCTGTTGAAGGGATGCGCGCTCGCTGGGAAGTGATGGGTGTGCTGCTCTGAGAAGATAGAGCAAGAAATGCTTTGAAGTTTCCTCAAATGGAGGAAGGGAATCAGCTGACATCTGGGCTGAAGAATCCAGCTTCTGCAGCTTTCCCTGGAACTCCATCCCTCCCATTGATGCCTTTTTCGTTCCGAAATCCTGGTTGGCTTCCTCGTGGCTCAGCTCCAGCGTGGATGCTGACGGTCCTGTACCACCATCTGGCAGAGCCCCTGAGCCAGGGTTTTGGAAGGTGTTTCAGGGGGAGTAAAACCGCAGGTTAGAGCAAAGAGTCAAAGCGGAGCCCTTGTGTAGACCTCTGTGAAGTTTGGAGATCACGCTGGCCGGCGGGGATGCACTTGGTGCGATAGTCCCACGTTGCCTGTGGTAAATCATTAACGTTTTAACCGACACCGTAAAAGCCACGTGTGCTTTCACTTGTGCGGTTCCTCAGCCTCGTAGGGCTCGTGGTGCTCTCGAGTAGTGGCTTCTCCCAGGGTTTGGTGCAGCCATGTCTGCTGTAGGGGTCTCTGCTTGCTTCAGCCTGTCTGGAAAAAGTGGAGGGCTTCGTAGGAGGTGAGGGATGTGGAGTCTGTGGAGGATGGGATGTAGAACAAGTGGAGGGCCTTGTAGGACGTGAGGGATCTGGAGTCTGTGGAGGATGGGATGGAGCAGCTGATGGAGAGGTTTTGTGGGAAGCACTGTGGCTAATTCTGTTCCCGATCCACATGATGACCGTGAAGCCTTGAAATCACCCGCAAACTCAGGGATTAAACTCGAGGCATCCCGTTCCCGCCGTGCGCCAGGCAGGCGGCTCTAGTTTGGCTCTTCGGGGCCTTGGCTGAATTCCCGTGGCACGCTGCTGGGTCAGGGGCTGGCTAGCCTCGCCTTGCTCTCCCAGCAGAGAAGATTTGCCCGTGGCCACCTGGAAGCGTGAGAACGGCAAGTCCTTAGGCCAGCAATCCCTCAGGCCAACGATCCCTCCCCACCATCCACGAGCCTACAGATGTTGTTGAGGAACTTCAGAACGAAATAACCCCTCCTGCGAGCCGCCTTTACCGCGGGTTGGTCTTTACCTGGTGAAGATGATTTTAAATGCTTCCTTTCCACCGAGGATTTACCCGAGTTAGGATTTGGGAGTCAAGAAAAATACAAGGCGGGAGACTTTTTGGGTTATAACCGTGGTTTGGTTATACCCGTATTGGCCAGCGTTGCCGTAACCACTTATGAAATAAGCCTCCTACGGGCCCCAGCAAGGGGGGAAGCGCCACAGGAGGAGAGTCCCGAGTGCTCTGCAGGGCGAGGTGCACGTGGAGGAAACACGAGGGATGTCACAGAGATGCGGATCTCCGCCAGGAGGGCCGAGCTGCCGGTTCTCCTGGACGAACGGCTCCTCTGCTCCTGGGTGAGGAGCCGTGCGGCGGTGGCACCGCAGCAGCTGGACGTGGGGTTTCACAGGCTGAGTGAAAGATAACGTGGGATAGACAGCGCTGGTGGTGAACGAGAACTCGGTGGCAGATGTAATTCTGCAAGAAAGATCAGCAAAACCGCCACAATAAGCAGGCCTAAACGTGCAAGAATTCGGGTTTTTGTTAAGCTCTTTGGCTGGTGAATGCCAGAGCCGGTGACCGGGTGAGTTGCAGAGTTTTAATGGGGGTTTAGCTGTGCAAGTGCTTGGCCGGCTCTGCAGGCTGCGACTTGTGTCCCTCCGAGATTAGCCTCAGCCTCTTGGTGGTGCGTTCAGACACAGGCAGCTGATCGGCTGCTCAGAGGAATCTCGGTGTTTTTAATCTCGGTGGGTACGTGGCAAGGATAGCGAAGTGTCTGCTGAGATGAGAAAGCTCCCAAATGGCTTAATTTATGCTTTTATGCTACCTGCACCCTCTGAGAGTGGCTGTGGACTCCTTTGCATTTCCCAGTGTGGCAAATCTCAAAGACTTGAGGTTTGGAGGAGACTTAACTGAAGATTTCGTGCTCCTGCTGTCACCCAGAAATGAGGGTGCTGCCTCTCTGCGGCCATCCTGATAGCTGGTGATTTAGCAGTACAGATTTTCCCCATCTGGCCCAAATGCATGACCTTCCCAGAAACTTCCTCAAGGGAGCCCTGGTAGGAGGTGGTTGTGGAGTGAAAAACCTCTTGGTTGGCTTACCCAGAGCAGACAGCAAACCCAGTAAGGGGTTAATGTGGCTCAGAAGTCTTTCAGCACGTGTGTGTCTCCGTTCCAGAGTGAGGCAACTGGTGTGTTTGTCTTTAAAGAGCCTGTGCAGGTACCTTCAAATCTAGGCAGGCAGCAGGCTGCCCCAACACGCTCTTCGAGAGAGCATCGGTGGGGGAAACGGAAGGAGGCTCAGACGCACCCTAACACGTCCCTGGCATCCTTTTGTTCCCCCTCTCCGCAGGAATGAAAAATCCGGGATCATGTCCGTGAATGGAAAGAAAGTCCTTCACATGGATCGTAACTCTTACTACGGAGGGGAAAGCGCATCCATTACACCCCTGGAGGACGTAAGTACGGAGCCTGACACCCCGCTATTGTGTCCTCCCCAGGCGCGTGGAGGGGGCTTTATTCCCTCCTGCCCTAGGGGTGGATCCGAAGTAATTACTCCAAAGGGCTTCCTTTGAGTACGAGGGTTTTATGGCACTTCCACACCAGTTAATAGCGGGGGAGAAACCAGGGTGTGCTTGGCTCGTTTTCTGTAGCTCCCAGTGATCGTTGGGGGGGGTGTAATGCCCGCCAGCCGGACGTTAAAACCCTTCAGCCGCGTCGCGGCGGGCCGCCCTTGCCGGCGGGACGCGG